CATGTAACCTGGGGATGTTTCTTTTCATCATCTACCCCATCGTGTGGGATATCGTTGATGGGGCTTTTAAAATTACTAGGGTTTCCTCAGACTATTTTTCTTTATGTTAAACTTAGATTTTACTTGTTTATGATTCAGCTTAGACAGCGATAAATTTAGGTGAGCAGCGTATACCCAAGTAGATAAAAATTATCGACACAAAACAAAATCTCAAAACATGGGTGCCAAAATAGATAACATTGGTAGAGTATACAGGCAAACCCACTTCCGTACCAATTAGCAAAACTATTGCACACTCCTTGATTAAAAGGGGCGGCAATTCATCATCCATGGCTATATTTTTTTTATATTCCCAATAATTTAGGCAACTTCTATGACAACTTTAATGAAGGTAAAACTAAATGTTTAAAAATTCTCAATGTTAAGCTGCTTAGGTGAATTATTTATCTTTATGAACAACTAGCGAAGCCAGTGGACATCATTTTGCCCTGAGTATGAAAATAGGATATTTTAAAAGTTCAATGATTTTTGATATTTTTTTTTGATATTCTACTTTTCTGCGCAACTTACTTTATATTCATGAACATCCAGCAGTCAAATAATTAAAGGAAATATACAAAAAAACTTATTTTTTTATAATTTTTATTATTTTTAAAGCATGTAACTGCTTGATGTTTAAATCTAAACTTATTTTTTTGCCATAAAAACCTTCCATAAAGTACTATTATGAAAACTTTGAAAATAACGATGTATGAAATCTGTGGGTCGTTCGCAAGTTAATATGGAGTGGGAAATAAGGACTCATTTTTATCATAGAGATGTTAATGTTTATGATCTGTGAGTTTTTTTTGTCCTGTCTGTTAAAAATTACAAAATTGTAAGTTGTTTTGTTATTTTGTCAGGATGTCCGGCTTAAACAGTTTCACACCAATGTTCGGTTTTGTAAAGTTTTGTCCGGCATCGACATGTTAATAGGTATTAAGATAATCTACTTATTTGTACCGCTAACTAAATTTACAAATATTTTTGATTTAAGTAAAGTTAGCCCAGAAAAGCTTATTTTAATTTTGTATATTTGTACAAATTATATATTTTGTGGTTTTATTAACAAAACTTTGTATGAATGTAATAAATAATGTTTGTATGAACGCAAATTAATAATGGCAAATTAACTATATAACTCATATACCCTGAATTTTGAGTAAGTCGGGAAACTTAAAAATCGTGTAAATAAAAATGGGGGAGTCGGGGAGACCCCCCCCCTCCCCCACATCAAAACTAACCCGAAATTCAACCACAGTTAATGGAATTAAGTACCGCTCTGAAATATTTATTTAACAATAAAAGATGTAAATGGACATGCTAAAGATGAACGAAAAAAAATGTGTCGATTTAATAAAAGTTTCACTTTAAAATATTTTTAACAGCAGTGATATTCTGCATTATATAAATCCGAAAAATTTACAGAATAGCACTGCAGAAGTCATCCGATTTGTACATACAGCGACTAGGTGGGAATGTTGTCGTTGTTTTATCTGGGTCGCGAGCATTGATCTAAGGATTTTTAGGACATTACAGTAGCGTAAGTAAACAATACTTAATTTGTATTTAGAAGTAAGACCTCGCCCAAGCTATTCTATTCATTTTGAATAAGACGCGAGGGCAGCTGGCGAGGCAATAATTATTCCTTAACAGCGCTGTCGACTTTCACGGCGGCGGCTATACTTTCTCAGATCAATTGACAATTAGTAACGTATAATTTATAAAGTATTTAAAGGTATAACAGATATCTAAATTAGGTAACGTAATTCAATCATGATTTCAATTTAATTATTTTTATATATTTTTTTAAGCATGTAACTGCTTTATAGTAATATAAGTTATTTACGGGATTGTTACCATGTACCTTGCTGTTACCTTACGCTAAAAACAAGGTACATGGTAACAATCCCGTAAATAACTTATATTACTATAATGTTAGTGACCATGAAAGTTTAAAATAATATAATGTAACTGCTTGATGTTTAAATCTTAAGATTCAAATATCTTTACAAAATATTTCGTGGTTTTTATAGAAATCCAAGGTCATCCCATAAAAAATGTAGAAAGTCGTTAAAATTCAGCACAGGATAAAACCTATTTCAAAAGGAAATGCTTTCAGATGATATACAAAAAAAAATACTTCTTTAGCATCATTAAAAATATTTTTTAATTGCATGCAAATAATTAATAATTACAATAAAATAATAAAAGGACTGGAAAAGGATAGTTAACACAGTCAATTAAGTTCAGTTTTAATTTGAAAAATTAAATAAATATTAAATAAATATATTATATTCAATTAAAATCACTACTGAATTTAAGTTATTAGTCCATATGTAATTAGCACTTGTAAGTAACTAAAACACGTTGTGTCTATATAGAAACTAGAAACATGTGGATAAATATTATAAATATGAAAACAGTGATCAGAGGCGACGAGCGTGCCAACATTGTTTTTGACAACGCGATCATCTTATGGAGCTCCGTGGATCGTTCAAAGTACCTTTCGAACAGAAGTCTAATAATGGTGGATTATTAACCACTAAGTGGTTAATAATCCACCATTATTAGACACTAACATTCATAACGCGCCCGCGGCCAACTTCATGGTGTTACTATTGTGTTACAGTGATGCGCGCGCATCTTAAAATTTCACTCTCATAATTTTTTCATAATGCGGCTAAAGAAGTATAACTTCAAAAATAATTAGATTTTTTTTTCAGAAAATGCAAATATGATAAAATATCAAAACAGGGCGTAAAAATTAATATTTTGAGTCAAAAATACATATTAGAACGTGTTTGGGATAGAAGAAGAGTGGGATATAGAAAGAGTCGCCAAGTGTGAGTCGGACTCGCGCACCGAGGGTTCCGTACAAACTCAATTTAATACCTCTACGCGTTCATGAGAAAAGAGGTTTAAACTTTAATATTTTCAAAAATATTTTTTATTATATGATGTAACTAAATATTTACGGTTTTCGCAATTTTTCCTTTATCTGTACCACAAGACGTTACTTCGTACCAAATTTCAAGATTCTAAGTTCACGGGAAGTACCCTGTAGGTTTTGATTCCCGTGCGAGTTTCGAAAATTTGCGGAAATTTGCGGCATAAACGGCTGCATCTTTTGATTGCTATGGCTTAGAAGTTTGATTTTTTCACAGCTCCAAGGGACAGTAGACATGAGTATTAGATATGAATTTCAATTTGATACCTCCACGCGTTCCTGAAAACAAAAGGTCTTGACAGACGGACGGACAACAAAGTGATCCTATAAGGATTCCGTTTTTTCCTTTTGAGGTACGGAGCCCTAAAAATTATCTTATTCGTTTATTGGTAAGTTTTATTTAAAAGGGTTACACAGAACAGTACTCCGACCTAGTTCACGCATTCCGCCACTATGTACCGTCAACAATTTACATGAGAAATATGTATAATTAATTAACATTCATTGATTCTCCCACATTCCGGCCCGCGTTGCCAGCATTATTCGTTTTTTCTTTTAATTATATTACATATACTCTGACACATTGTTTCCTTAATCGCGACGCATAGCAATAAATCCGATATACTTATATATTTGCAACAAAACGCCTTCCAAGAATAACAGGCATTTTAAATAAGCAAACCCAACACATAGTTTAAAAATAACTGTTATCTACAGACTTTTTATATAGATTTCGCTTTTGGTTGTAACCGAACCTTACCTTACAGGTCTGATTATAATACTCGTATGTCACACTTTAGGGTGCTCCTACACGGTGCAAGCAGCTGGAACAAGTAAAGATGCTGGTTACTTGCGAGTGTAGCGTGCACCAGCTACTTGTTTAAGTTACTCGCTTGTTCTTGTACATTGCATTGTGCAAATTAATAAAACAGAAGACTCACATCACTCATCATCATCATGGGATATGGGCTGCATTTGAAAATCAGCGCCATATCCCATGATGGAGCACCCACATAACATACAGTCTTTATGTTATTTATTTATTTTCATTTGGGAAACATACAGTTTTACACAATTCAATTAAGTAACACTTATTACTTTTTCATAAACCAGTTAAGTTTCCACAGACTGAAACATTCATACACTTACATAATTTACTTAAGATTACGTACAATATTTAGAGTTATGTGAATAAAAGAAAATAATTACTAAATGTTAGGGTAAAACGACCTTATAGCATTCATTTCTAAATTGATTGTAAGAAAGGCAAAATATATCCAATCCCCTGAAGTATTTATTATAGCTGTGACATGCTCTAGAAATGAAACTATTTGCAGCAAACTTGGTCCTGCTGAATTGTATTACAAATGTGTTGTCAGACCTAGTTCTATGAAGACAACGGAAACCAATCCTCTGCAAAAGGAACGGCGAATCTACAAGGTCATTAATAAGTTTGTAAAGAAATAATTGATCTCTAACAGTTCTGCGATGTTGCAAGGATGTAACCTGTAACTTTGCTTCACAATCATTAATAATCAAGTTAACATTAATTCTGTTTTCTAAGTACTTCACAAATTTGTGCTGAATTCTTTCAATAGCATCAATGTATGTATTATACTGTGCACAGAACACAGAAAGAGGTTAGAAGGGTCTTCAGAGACCTTTTGGTACGGGAACCGATGTCGCCGGGTCGCCCGCACTACACTTACACCTAATAGATATTAGCCAATCAAACGCCGTGACATCAAACAATCGAACTAATCGGCGCTCACACCCCATCGCAACAAAGCAATCGTTGCCACGTTTTGGTCAAGTTATGAGCATTTGCTCACAACTAACTGTGGCGCGCCTGCCCCGCCCACAAGGCCCTTCTAACATCTTTCTGTGTTCTGTGATACTGTGGATTCCATACACAAGAGGCATATTTAAGGTGTGATCTCACAAATGCATTATACACTATGTGAGTTTTGCAGAATAAATATATTCAATTTGTTTGTTCCTTTGTCGTCAGGTGGTGTTGTGTGTGAGAGTAGGTAGTCGTCCACAAGCGGCGGCGGGGACAGCCACGACGGTGAGGGCGGCGGCATGGGGCGCGCGCGCGGCCCGCCGGCGGCATGGCGGTGAGCTGCCCCGAGGTGATGTACGGCGCCTACTACCCCTACCTGTACGGCCGCGGCGCCGCGCGCTCCTTCCACCACGCGCCGCACTTCCAGTATGATCGGGTGAGTCACCCATAACACTACCCTACACCTTAGATTAAAACAAAAAGGTTAGATACGATACGCTCATACTAGCATCAAACAAAAACTGATCCCACGGCAGCGCGAACGGGACGGCGAGATCCGCGTCACTGCATTACCGACCCGAACGAAATAGCACGTTAACTTTCAACGGCAGCGCGAACAGGACGGCGAGATCCGCGTCACTGCACTACCGACCAATCACGCGACCAGTACTCGACGTCACTACCGAATAAGATTCAAAACAAACAGCAATTTTGATGAAAAAATATATTTTATAGTACTTACGAATGAAAAGTGATGCCGTGGGTTTTATTTTTAGTACTTGAGCAATTTGAGCACTTTTAAAAACACACTTAGGCATTGTTTTCTCATATAAACACAAAATCTTAGCAATATTTCTTTTTGGCGTTCACATGTACGTCGTTTGCATGTCAAGTTGTGACTAAAGCGATTAGGGTTGTGGACCACAATTGGTGCGGATCACTTTTGTGAGGCTAGTGCCGTATCTAAGCCCTACACTAACCTTTTGCTAGCAAATTGTGTGATGCATACCCCGGAGGCTATGTTCAATTTCTACGTTGTATCCTACCATTGTCGCTCACTCAACCAGCCCTGAAAGTGGCTGAACAGCGGTTTGAGATGGAGGACCTACCTACTAAAATGTTACAGTACTCCCTCGTCTAACGAAGAGGGTTTCGTGGCATCCGAACTTTTCACGTTTCGCCGTGGCTGAGGTTCCTCCTACTGTCTGTGTCACCTACACTAACTTAGGTACACTGGGCTGCCTGACAACGAGACTGTTGTAGGAGACTTTAGACACCACTTTGTACCAGCGATCTCTCGCTATCTAGACCTGCTCCACCTGTGAGCTAGAAGTAATTTCTGACTAGGGTCTCAATTCTTGACCCCCCAGCCGCTTTTGCAGCGCCACCCAGCTCTCTCTTGCAGGGGAGACAGCCGGGGAGAACTGCTATACCCCTACCGCTCCAAAGCGAACCATATGAACTGGGGAAGCACTAGGTCTGCATTGCACCGGTTCATGTACCGCACCGCGGACTATCATATTGCGGGTGCGTGGTTATTCTTACCAGCGTGCCACGATCTCATCTTCCCCCCTGTAGTGTGCATTCTAGGGCTTTGGTGCTCAGAGTGTGTCAGGTGATCGGTGTAGGTGGAGTATTGTCTGGTTTTTGGGGGTAGGGCCTCTCTCATGTAGCCGAGCCTCAGAGTTGGACGGTCATGCTCTTCCCGGTGAGCGAGGCTTTTTCAAGACATGAACCAAAGTCTGCTAAGTCTTGAAGTTTATTTAATTATTATTACAATCCCTCAGCTGCAATTACAATATACGAGACAAGTGTCAACATTTGCCTTTTTCATTACCAGCTTATTTTGATATTTACTTCTTAGAAAATTTCCCTTTAGGATATATTTTAAGGCAGTTAAAAGTCTATATATAGGTAGGTATACCTATATATATCCGCGTCCACTGTGCCTGCGCAGCTCAGGTTGTTTGGTTGAGTTTTTCCCGCGAGTTCTAAGTATCGCGCGGACCGGCCGCCATATATCACGCGCGCAAAAACCACAACCTGCGCCTGCGCTGCCTGCCCCCCTCCCCCTTCCTCTCGCTTCCGCACACACCTCACCTCACTCCGTACCTTTCCTGCCCTACGTCTATCTCGTCTGCAATGTTCATTATGAATTGTCTGTAGTATTATTTAGACATAAACATTCCTCTTTTCAAGAAAATATTAACTTACCTACTCGCCTAGTATTTCAAATGTGATAGATTAATGATCGTCATCAGCGGTAATTGATTGAATTTTTGCGACTCACGAGTGCGGTATTACGTCCTGTCCGCTCTGTCAGTTGTTGTTATAATATGATGCGAACTAAAAGTTCCGTGACACGCTTGGAATTCCACGGGTGCCGGCCAAGAGGCGGCGTAATATGATTAGAATGCGAATCTTGAGATGTGATGTGCGTGAATCACATAACAGAGAACTTTGTTCTGAGGCGTGAATGGTAGTAAATACATTTATAAAATGTTTGTTTGTATACGTAAATATTTAAATGGTGATTTAAAAAATCCTCAGGTCATTCACGATGAAAAAGCTCTGTAACAATCACACTTTTGGAATTCAAAATCAACAACAAATAATTAAATTGTCGACTTTGGATTTTGAAAAATGACTCCAGAGCACTGCGTGCTAACTACTGATGAGGCTGGGATCCAAACAAATTAATGTTTTTATGTCTGTGTCGAACTATAAAGTTCCAATAATTTAAAACCTTTTAACAGATTGTATGTGTGTAGTTAGCTCGATCGTTCGGCCAAACTAATGGGGCGGATTTTCGCCACGGCAAGGGTTCTCATCTTGTATGGATGAAAAAATGGAAACTAGGCATTTATCTTAAATTTTTTTGTCGCCTTGCGCAAGCTCTGCTCGCAGCACATAAACAGAAATTTGAAATCCGGAAGAGCCACATTCATATATATTTGGCCTGAGCCGAGGGAAGACAAACATCTCCGGGTATAGCGAGATCGACAGCAACCTTAGCCACAAATCACCTCAGAATCACTTGTGTGTGACCATCATCACCCCTTTCCCCCCTGTTCAAGCGTCCTTAAAGTTAGTTTTTTTGCACATACCTGGAGAGCGCGGCCTGTTCCTTTAGACGTGGTTAAATTAAATTACGTTGTACCTACTTATCGAATGTCGGCACGTTGTCATTCAATGTCCGTACTGCCTGGTTGCACCTAATTACCACCACGGTAATTACTCTTAATTTTTAGGGTTCCGTACCTCAATCAGTAAAAATGAAACCCTAATAGGATCCCTCGGTAGTCTGTCTGGCTGCCACAGTCAATTTGCTTTGAATCTGCTTGACCGATCAAGTTGAAATTTGGTACATGTATGTCTGCGATCCAAACACGGAAAAAAATAATTCCGAATATTGGGGTGAATTGGAAAATTAAATAGTTTAATATTTATGCGTATAATCAAATGAAGAGAATCAATGTGAAGGTTTAAATAATATTTTTTTTTTGTAAAATGAATGTTGAAAAAATATTTAAGAAAATAACTGAAAATTGACCTTTCCCGCGAATTATCTCCGCAAGTACAGCGTCTGAAAATTTGAAATAATAAATGGAATACTTATAGCTCTTTGCTCGTAGCTTACAGGAAAATATAAGAAGTTTTAGTAACTCAAATAAAATAAATATGTAAAGGGAGCTCATGCAACAGACTTGATTTTTAAAGATTATGATTATGCCGTTTTGTACTCGATATCATTTTATAGTGTCTAATGTTGAATAGATGTACGGAACCCTACGTCCGCAAGTGTCATTTGACAAGTCTTTAATGTTTAAATCTAAAGAAAAGTTTACTAGAAAAAAAATCCACGCGGACCAGGCAGCGGACGGGACACGAACCCGCATCCTTCGCTATCCGGGCGAATGCACTGACCATTATGCTACCACGGTCCTATTAGCCGCGTTGAAATTTTCCTAGCCTTAAGCTGCAAGGCAGCGCCATCTCTTCGCATTGTAGGTAACCCACAATGTCAAATGAATACTTTTTCAAGTATTAAACATTTGAAAGAAGAAATAGCAATTATAGTTATGATTCTATTTATTTTTTAAGCATTTAACTGCTAGATGTTTAAATCTAAAGAAAAGTATACTAGAAAAAAATCCACGCGGACCAGGCAGCGGACGGGACCGTCCGCCGTCATAATCAAGTCTTTAATGGTATAAACAATTCTTGTTTCACACATATCAGTAGTATTCTTATATATTTGGTCGGTTTTTATGACCGAGACTTGTGAGAATTAACATGTACTCCTCATACCGTCGCGAAAAGAGAGCTGAATATAGCTATTTTTAACATAGATTCATATCATATATTAGATCATATAAACACATGTTTATAAGCATTATTGAGATTAGCGTATTGTTCCAGTTTAACGTGCAAAGCGGCGCAAGCAACGCCGGCAGCGAAGCGTACGGCAGCGGGCCCGGCGCGGGCGGCGGCGCGGCGGCGCTCAGCTCAGGCTCGGCGTCATCGGGCGCGCAGTCACCCGGCTCCCCGCCCCACGCGCACCTGCCGCACCACGCGCCGCGACTGCGCGCCAAGGAGGAGGACCTGTCCGTGCACGGCCGCGCCAGCGCTGATGGTGAGTGGAGTGCTATCGGCTATCCCGTTTCGCGTAAAGCTGCAGTACGATTTTACAACCAGGGCTTGAAAGCGATTTCGAAAATACCGGTAAATAAAGGTTAATACCGGTTAGGAGCGCGTCCGAAATGAAAGCGGTACCTAAAACCTTAAACCGATTTAATCCAGAGCGACACGTGCACGCGTCGTCATCGCTTGAAGTTTGTTTTGTTTGAACTAATCAAGACGCAACATGTTAATACTCAAAGATTGATGCATTTATTGACACGTTTGCTAGCGTCCAGTGAGTCAAGTTATTCGTTTATTATCGATGCCGTCTGAAAGAGCAAAATGAAACCCTTTAAAAACCGCTACATTGATTCAAAACCTATTTGATTTCGCTCTTTAGGAAAACCGGTTTTTAAGGTTAAGGTAGAGCCAAACCTAAATAAAACGCTTTTAATGTACTTGAAACTGATTTAGGTTTGAAAGTTAACCGGTAAACAAGCCCTGTTTACAACAGAGATAGGACATCTGCAGCACATTCTAGTTAAAGAACTTCTAGAGAGTGGTGTTTAATATAACTTTAAAACTTGTTTCTCAATGGGTACGGAGAGAACATAGATCTTCACTAGCTTTTATTTACATTCATCAATCAATCTCTGTTTTATAGCCGGCCATTTGACGACTCGTGACAGCTACTTGTAATGGAAGTGCACGAAACTAATAAAACACGTAGAGACAGACCATGGACAAATAAGAAAATGCCCTTGTCGCACCGTCCTTCACTTGACCTTAGCAGAATTTTAAAACAACTAATATGTATTTGATATTATGATACCATTCAAGCTACAATCTACAAATTCTGAAGCTCCGAATGGTAACTCGCCTACCTTTCTATGTGTGACTATGGCCAAGATCCAATTCCAACGAGTAAGGCTAGTTGCTATCCAACTGTTGTGTTGTATAATGCGATTCAACTAAGAATAGGACCGACTGGGCGCCATATTGTGATGTCATAGCTGTCAATTCAAACGAAATAGGTAGAGTATGTTTATTAAATAAAAAAATGTTTTTATTTAATAAAACTTATTTACTAAGATAAAGTGAGAAAAAGCATCAGACTTTTTTAATAACATTTATTTACTAAGATAGAAGAAAGAAAACACCGATTTTTAATAATATTTATTTATTAAGACTGTGAGAAAAAACATTGATCAGAATCTAGCTCTTCTATTCCGCTCATCTCTGCATTACCGCCGGAGTAGTTATGAATAATCATGCACTATTACTAGGTCACATACGAACATGCATCCTTTATGTAAACGAAAGTTTGAAATCGAGTTTCTGAACGCAACTTAAAGTGACATTTGGTTGACGATTTAGGTTATCAATCATTCATGCCCAAAGCTCAATAAGTAAAAGAAAGTATCAACCGATATTAATTATTAATATTTGTTATTATTTGTTTACAAATGGTTGGCTTTTATTGTTGAATTAGTGGAATTCTAAAATGGGGTTCCAAGATTTAATTGCAAACCGTACTTTTCAAGCGACATTTGACAGATAGAGGTCATTAGCTTTCCTATTGGAACGAAGTTCCTTACGGCAGGCTTGGAGGGGATAGGGATTTTGCTGCGCGACCGAACTGAAAAAAATGTGATAGTAAAACCGTAAGAAAAAATCCGTGGAAAAAAGTACTAGGAATAAAACCGTTAAATGAGACGTGCGCAGTCGCAATAGTTTCAGCAATAGAATTTGGTGACGAGACTGATTAATAAGAATTACTTATAATAATTTATTTATTTATTTATTTATTTATTCATGGAAAACAAACAGCATGTTAAAACTGAGGATAAAACGAGATGATGTAGCATTGATATGCCTTATACAGTTTTCACAAATACAACTCAAATAAAATATACTTAATCCAATCGAGGCCGTAGATTAATTTAGAACTATATAAAAATAAAAACACAGAAGCAAAAAATTAAGCATAAAGCCATAAAGCCATACCCACAGAGAAAATGGTGATAGAAATATAAAGTAATTTAAATAAGGTTTTATTATTATTATTAAAAAAAATACTATTCACAATCTTTTTGAAATAATTGTGTTTCGCCAGGAATACGTCCACATCACTTGAATAATTATTATTGAAATTTTGTTTTACTCTATTAAAGTAGGAATTCTGTCTATAATTTGTGGAACATAAATCAGTATGGAATCGCAGATAATTGCGTCTGGCAACTGTACGGAATGGTACCTGGATTTTAACCAATGATAGCAGCTCATTGCTGTCTATCTTGCCGAGAATTAAGTTGTGGAAAAATGTTAAGTCCGCAGCTTCTCTACGCTTACTTAATGGAAGAAGATGGTGTCGTTGGCAGTTAACAATATAATTTGGACCTGGACTTAACCCAAATTTGAAGTTTAAAAACTTCAGGAACTTTTTTTGGATCTTTTCTAATTGATTAATATAACAATCATAGTGAGGATTCCAGACCTGGGATGCGTATTCCAGGTGACTTCTTACCAAAGAGCAATATAAATTTTTTAATGATTTTGCTATTTTAAAATCTTTGGTTGATCTGAAGATAAACCCTAACATTTTCATGGCTTTTGATGTTATATTATCAATGTGCCTATCTAGAAGGAGTTTCGAATCAAAGATTACGCCCAGGTCCTTTATGTAATCTGTACGCTGTAATGACTGCATATTAATTTTATAGTTGAAGTGGAGGATATTTTGAGATCTACTGAAAGTAATACAATTACATTTAGATATATTAAGGTCGAGTTTATTTGCAAGACAATAGTCCTGTAGCCTAACGAGATCCTGTTGCATAAGTACACAATCGTGAATTGAGCCAATCTTTCTGAAAATTTTCATGTCATCTGCAAATAGTAGTATTTGTGAGTGTTCGAAGCATATATTAATGTCATTAACAAATATAATAAATAGAAGAGGACCCAAAATGGATCCCTGTGGTACACCAGATGGAATGGCCATGGAAATAATATTAACAATAATAATAAACCTTTTTTGTAATTATTTTTATTTCTATTTTTCTATTTCTATGTAATTTTATGTTGTCAAACAAAAATAAAGAGACATATTTTGTTATTTTAGTTGATAATTTGAATTACGATGTATTTTTAATTTAAGTAATTAATTATTTCCTAACATACTGAATTTCCTAAATACTTTCTTGTACTTAAATAAAAACTAATCAGCAAAATTTAAGAGAATAATCAAGAAAACCTACATAAAATTGAGCACGATTTTTTTTGCAATTTGTGTCGATTCTACATTAGCCGAAGGAACTTCGTTCCTACCTGGTGTCCCACGACGCCACATAATTTTTTATTCTTATTTGAATCGCATTATAAGAGCAGCGTGGTTGCAGGCGGCGGATCGTCGGAGTCGGAGGGCGAGCTGGGCGCGGGTGGCGGCGGGCCGGGCGCGGGTGGTGGCGCGGGGGCTGGTCGCGCGCGCGCTCAGTACGTCAGCGCCAACTGCGTGGTGTTCACGCACTACTCCGGAGACGTGGCCACCGTCGTCGACGAGCACTTCGCCCGCGCTCTCGCCCTCGACAAACCAAAGGGTTAGTGCAATAACAATGAATATCTTATTCCTTCTAATATTGAACTTTCCTCATCCTCCACGACCAGGCGCTGTTGTCGAAGTTCCTCCCGTTCCCAAAAAGCGATTTACTTCCGCTTTCATTATGCGAACGGCTAGGAAGTGGAACTTCTTGCCGAGGTCTGTTTTCCCGGACCGATATAATCTGGACATCTTGAACGCCAAAGTGAACAGGCATCTTCTAGGCAAGTGTGTACCATCCTAGGCCTCATCATCGCTTTCCATCAGGCGAGATTGTGGTCAAACGCCTTGCCTATTAAGCATTAAAAAATAATACGTGGTCGGATTTTAACACAGTCTCTTGAAAACTCCTATGGGAATGAATCTTTTGCTACTTATCATTACAAACATATTATCTATTAGTGTCCCCATTGCTGGGGCACAGGCCTTCCCTATGGATGGAATAGGTAAATTAGGCCGTAACCACCCCCCACGCAGGCCCAGTGCGGATTGCTGCTAAAGACTGCCGATGCAGCCGGGACTAACTGCTTACAGTGTCTTTACAAGATACATAGTATCTGTGGTCAATTTAAATTTGCTGATATATTTATTTATATCAAAATATAAAAAAATGTCACTATGACTATTTAATAAATTATTAAATTCAAATTAAAGATGCGCTTGTTTTGTCCCCTAGTTAAATTTTCTGTATATGGGAAAGCGCTTATTATTATTTTACACTTGCACCTAGACTGATAGTTACGTAGCACCTCTATATTTCTATACATATCTCTTGCTCTTATTTTAGAGCTGTCACCACACATAATAACTATGTTAGTCAAACTGTCCGCATCATACTGATTCAGTTCACTCACAATGTCATCTATTGATTTCACTGGTATACATATATTAGTAATATATATTCATACACATACGTATACATACAGATGGAGCTAAAGAAGTTTTACTTCAGTCGTGTGGTCATAAGCAGAATCGTTTTTTTTTATTTTGGATGATTTTAAGAAACATTAAAATTTAACCAGTTTACATTTATTTTTGAACTTATAATTGAAATATTTTTATTACATATTGAATTCCGCGTCTGCGGATGTGAATCTCTTATCTATTAGACAAGTCCGTCCGTCTGTGGTGCTGTTTCAGCGGCTAAACCGTAAGAGATAGATAAAGAGAATATTTAAGTTATAAGTCAAGAATAGTCTGATAAGACTACAAACCGGATTAGAGTAACGTAGCACTTCCGGTTTTCGAGAAATCAGGTTTTGGTGAACATTTGGTTCACTGGTTTGCTAGTCTCTAATAATCCGCATCCACAAAAATCCGCAAAAATGTTTAGCAACCGCAACAACCTTGGTATAGAAAATATAATTATAACAATAGTCTCTACACGTGAAAGTTTTTTTCGTTCAGTGTAGTGTTAAAGCATGTCGTGGTACAAAACCCTCTGCCGTTGAGTCCGCCTTGAACTTAACCGGTTTTAAAGTAATTAAACTTGATGATGGAATGTAAGAGAAACGAGATTGGTGGTGTGTGATATTGAGAATGTGTGAAATATTTCGCTTACATACCCACTACTAATGAGATTATTTTAGTAAAAAAACTAAGAAAAATGGGTTAAATGGGAAGTTGGTCTTAGTAATAAAATTAATTATTTCTGAAAATACTCACCTATCTAAATATATAAAAGGAGAAACCGACTGACTGATATATCAACGCACAGCCCAAACCGCCAGGTCTAGATTCTAGAGACTCCAAATTTGATGAGGTGTAGGGGTGCACTAAGAAAGGAATTTGCAAAATTCGCCCCGAAGGGGTTAAAATAGAGGATGAACGTTTGTATAAAAACAAACGACGATTAGACGACCTCCGTGGCCGAGTTGTTTGTACGCCGGGTTTCATGGTGTCGCCGACTCGAGAGGTCCCGGGTTCGAATCCCGGTGGGGGCAGATGTTTATGTGATGAATACGAGCATTTGTGCTCCAGTCATGGATGTTTAATATGTATTTCTATATAAATATACTTAAATATGTACAGTATATGTATTCTATCCGTTACCCTAGCATCCCATAACACAAGCCTTACAGTGCTTACTTTGGGGCTAGGCTAATTGGTGTGAGTGTTGGAAATATTTATTTATTTATTTTATTTAAAAAATCGTATTCCTTGGGTTATTAGACTTAAAAGTTAGCACAAATACTTATCTAAATACAGTATAAAGTTTATTCTTAAACACTTTGAATTCAACGAGTCTGCCATACCACAGACTTTTACTGCGTGTGGGTACACCTGTTATGTTATTTAGAAATTTCAAGCCACCCAAACTTTGCAGCGGCACAAGGTTGCAAATCAAAGCTTTGCATCGGAAAGTAGTAGAAGTCACCATTTTGATCAAACCTGCTCAGGGAGAAACAGTGTTTATAACACGTTTTCCACTAATGCCAAATGATCTCCCCTTTTTAACCAACTTCAAAAAAAAAGGTAAATTTAAAAAATCAAAAAACCCGACTGCTTAATTATATTTCAAATAAAAACTGAAAAGAAAAAAACAAGTCCAGTAGTCTATAATTCTGTTAATAAGGAACAAAGCTACTTTAACAGTCGGGACCCATTACATATTCAAGAATACATAATATTTTACAACAGTGGGTCCCGACTGTTAAAGTAGCTTTGTTCCTTATTAACAGAATTATAGACTACTGGACTTGTTTTTTTCTTTTCAGTTTTTATTTGAAATATAATTAAGCAGTCGGGTTTTTTGATTTTTTAAATTTACCTTTTTTATTTCACACTTTTTAGTTAGTAAGTATTTTAAGACTGTATATACCGTAGTCTTGTTACTTCAGTAAGGGAATTAATATCGCGGGAATTATTAAGTACCTTGCGTCGTCCTAAAAGATTGATTTATTAAGACATATAGAGACTTTACCAGCGGGGTCAAGGCTACAGATGGGCCTCAATTTTCGCAAAAATGTGTTAAGTTAAATCAAGTCGTTACATAAATATCTCTAATGTATGTAAATTTTATAGTAAACTAGAACATACTCAAAAAGTCATCTTTTGTTTATGTTTTTTTTAATAGTTTAGCAGTAAATATAAAATTCATTTACTTTTATTCGTCGACTATTTAAAATTGGCAGTGGCTGCATTGTCATGTCAATGCCGGACGTCTAAGATTGTGATATACACAAATGCAGTGTCAGTCCCTAGTCTCATAATTTGATATATCTACATAATTCACAGAAACCCAATATGTAGATGCCAGAAGTTAACTTCAAATGTTTTTAATCACCTATATACAATACCAATCAATGACGTTTATGTCGCAGGTTGAAAAAAGCAGTAATTCCCGTTTGTTGTTTTGGACATTGGTGGCAACTGCCTTAGATCACTAAATTAAATAATTATGCAATCACCAAAGCAAAGTTTATAATATTTGATTAAACTAAAGGCGCATAATAAAATTTTCATAACGTTAGGTAGAGCACCATAGCAATCTCATTTATTATCAATTTATAGTTCTCTTTGTAGTTTTCTTTTAAAGCGTTCACATATAACAGGTCAAAGACTTTGTGATCGACCCATTTTTTATTGGTAGTGTAAAGCTCGAATGAAGAGTACTCCCAGTAGGGCAATCATGGCAATTATTTTCAAAATTTTTTTTTTGTTTAAAAAAATACCGAACAACGTATCACTGTTAAGCACAAATGCTAAGTAACTTTTACAAAATATATAATCAAATAATCCTATTACTTACTTTATTTTTAAATCTATTCATCAATTAAATACTTATCTTATCCTAACTATCTATACTAATATTATAAAGAGGCAAGATTTGTATATTTGTAACAAATAATCTGTCAAACTACTGAACCGGTTTCAAATATTAATTCATCATAAGGTAGCTACATTATTTATTATTACTTTTTTCTTTATTTAAATACATTTTGTCCGAGTGACATAGGCTATATTTTATCCCGATAAATAAATTTCGCCCGTACAATGCCCGAGTGGATCACTAGTAAGTATAATATAATATTATAGATGTGAAAGTGAGTTTGTTTGTTACGCTTCCGTGCCCTAATAGCTAAATCGAATATAATGAATTCCCATATAGAAGTAGACGGGAACTTGGTTCTTAGCTACAACATCGCAATAATTATAGACGTAGGGTGATTTACCTATAAAATCTACATTATTTACTTTGAATTTTGCAGAATTATTACAAAACCAATATTATCGCGAGCTGATTAATAAATACAGGGATTCCAATAAGTATGTACTTACTAGCGAAAAATGGGTTATTTGTCATTATATTAAGTAAACCTTTTTTGTAACATTAAGTAATATCGTTAAAAATATGAAAAACAGTAAAATTCTGAGTTTTTCATTAAAATTCAATAATCATAAATACCTATTATGATAATATATTTTTCATCATTTAATAAGAAGGAACTGTATCACAGTTTTATTGTTAGTGCTTCATATAGGATCAGATACCGAGAATAGCCCATTTTTTTTTCTTTTACATAGTACACCGCGCTATCACTTTGTCATCGTTGTAACTTTTTAAATATTTGTCGAAATGACATAGTGTAAAATTCAAAGTTTATCGTCTTTAAATATCAAAATTTGTTTTGATAAAAAATGATTTGTTAATACCAAATGTGCATTTTGGAAATAGATATCAAATAATATTTTAGTTTTGATTCCCTATTTTAGCGGTAATGACTTACACATTAAAAATAGATATATAGTGTCACGGACTTATTTTTAGAACTATTTAAGAGATACATTTTCACTCTACATTACATTCATGTAACTTTTATTGTTTTTGCAGTGCAGGCCAAAATGGCTCGCAGATGGGAGATTTTTTTCCGTCTTATGTGACACTTATTGTTATATATTGGCCAATTCACTCAATAACTACATAAATTATTATATATATGTAATTATCATATATGAGCTATATTACTGTTAAGTTTCATTAAAATCCATTCAGTATTT